TGTAGCTGGGCTATATAGCTGCCCATCAGAAATGGGACAGAACTCACACTGCAAGTTTAATATGATAGCCCAACTGTCCATTTACTGCAGCTCGTCACTCTCACTGAACATTGAATGTAATCATAGTTTCCTTGTGAATAACTCATGACCGTGTTTTGTAAGTGTGGCTGTTGCTGTTGTATGATTGATTAGCTAGCAAAATGCGTCGAAAGATGCATGGTATTGCTGTAACATTTTTGTAATTTCCTCTGTGGTGGTGAGGCCCAATGCTCTTAAAGTGCTGCTATTGTTCTGTTCTCCACTGTAGCCTACTGGCTCCGAGCACTGTAACTGTACTGCAGTTACTGGCCTGGCCTGGCCTGCTCCACTAGGCATCAAAGCTGAAGGTGGTCCAACTAAATAGTAGATTGTGTGACTTTTTTTGGCCAGGCAGTGTATATCCAAGTGCCTGAGAGCATATTCGAGCTCCTGAGCACCCACGGGATTGGCGCCTATGATGTGGAGTGCACATTTTGAGTGTTATGGAAAAACCTAGTAAGTCCAATTTTGGTCTGAGTTAGGACCATTTTTGTACTTACTAGGCTTTGCCTCATCACGTACAGTAAGATACATATAGATTAATCTCTGATTCAATAGGTTTTGCTAAGGCGAAACCTAGCAAGTCATCAATATTTAATCTTTTATGTTGCAAAAACCTAGCAAGTTGAATTCTGCTGCCAATTCTGAGGTAACATACCTTTTCTGTGATCTGTCAGGTCAGTCATGCAGAGCATTGGATGTAAAAGACGTTCATGGTCATTCATCATAATTTGCATGATTCTCATGCTGATCATGAGTGAAAAATGGCTGGAAGACGGAAGCAGATGGTGGAGTCTGCACTGAAAAACTGCCAAACATCACTGCAACTACCCAATTGCTAGGTTAATTTCCATCATTTTGATAATTGCTATTCTATTTTGGATGGAGAAACCTCATAAGTTTTATTGCCATGGTTCCTGACAAGAAAAGAAAAAAAATGTCCTCCTTAAACATTTCTTATGATGTAATGAACAAATAACTATTTAGTCAGATTCATTGTTGGACAAGAGTTTAACCCAATAGGGACACAGTTTTCTGTCTTTTTATCACTATCTCATTTTTGTTACTTACTATGCTTTTCCATAACACTCAAGGCACGCAGTCGATCACAAAGGGCACCCATTGCCATCCTTCATTTATTGCACAATGAATGGCAATATTTGTGAGTATGGTAATAAGATCATTCTAAGATTTTTTTTTTTGGATCATTAGTCTGTACAGTATATGTGTTTTATCACCTTTTTTATGACAATACAGTAAAAGTTACAAGTGCGGTTTAAATCAAATTTGACAACGAGAAAAATCTCTGTTGTTCAATATTACTTACCTGCCAATACATGTTGATCTCGTTGGCTTTTCGATGCAATGTTTCTGCATGAGTGTTTTTTAGTTTCACACCTTTCCACATTAAGCACTTGCCATATACAACAAATCGCCCGTTCCTTGGAGGTTTAATGTTATTGAGTTTGCACGCTGAGAGATGAGAGCACAGTAGCAACGGGTGCTTTCCCGTCTGTACAGTAACTGCATGGTTACTGCCTACGAATGCTTATTTGTATTTTGCACTACTGTTTAGTCAGCGTTAAACTACCTTAAATATTTTATCACATCGACACATCTTGCTTTCCATGTAGATCGCATTAAAGAGAATTTAATTGTTTATTGAATTAAAGTGTTTACGTCTCCTCTGAATATTGTGTGTTTCATTAAGTGGGTGGTTAGAAGTAAAAAGCTTTTAATGGAATTTATTGCTGTTACTGATGTTATAAATAATATCCAGTGTAACACTGATGGACTTTTGTGTAGTATCATAATGACAAAAAATGCTTTGTATAATTGTCAGTAATTAATTACTAAGTAATTAATGTTTGTTATGTATTTATTTTCCATTTTATTTTGGCTCCCTTTTGTTCCCCTTCTCCACGTGTCTTTACTTTGTTTCCTGCTCCCCGCTCCCCGCTCGCCCTCCCCACTCCATGCAATCATTGTTTCCCATTCCCCTGTGGGTAACCACACCCCTCGCCCTGCTCCTCTGCCTGCCTGCTGACCTGCCCCCTGTCCCAGCGATTAGCTCCCTGTCTATGTAAGCTCTCAGTCTTGTTTGTTACATTGCGAGTCTGCCTCAGTTTACTGTCACGTATGCATGTTTGATATCCAAGTCTGAGTTTATTGTTTTGACTTTCTTTCTCCCATGATTTACGAGTTTGGATTGCGCTAAGTGTCTGTTTGCTTTTGGTTTTCTACATTTGAAAATATTTTGGCTTATGATTCTGTCTGCTCCCCTCACTCTAGCCACTTTCTCTCAGAGATGCTCTGACCAACTCATCGGGCCGTAAACGGCACGCAATACTCTGCGGGCCTGATCTACTAAGATCCCAGGTAAAGAGCGCTAAATTGCGTTCTCGTGGTAATATTTTGGGCATTTGGTTTGCTTAAATTTTGCGGGTGATCTACTGAGAGTAATTGCCTAAATGACTGCCGGTGCTAACAGCATTATTTAAATGAGGACTTTGCGTGCTGAAGCCATTTCCACCATGGGCAGTTTGGAGGAAAAGGACGAACGCAAACGCAAAGTGAAATTCGACTCGATGGAGTAGGAGGTGCTTGTGGAGGAAGCAAATACACTGTTATAAATGGACTGAATTTTACAGTTAAATTAACACATTGTCTCCTTGTTATTTTAACTGTAAGTAGAGTCTCACACACATTTAACTGTGATTTACCGTTAACATACACGGAACCTGTGTTATAAACTGATTGTAAAATTATGGTTAGAATAACTGGCAAAAAAGGTGCAAGTTTGTAACAGTGCATGCTCAATGTTTGAGGGGGGAACAATTTGCACATAAGTACAGTCACTCACTCCGATTGCTCTTGGGAAGCCAGCAACCGCATAAAACTCGTGTTTGATTTTATTCAGTGCTTCCCTTGTCGATGGAAACTTTATGCATTGGCCCATCCTACGCAACATGGCATCCAGTACTTGAGACAGTACACACGAGAAACTGTTTTGGGAGATCCCAGCAGTGAAAGCTACTGTATGCTGGAATTAACCAGTTGCGAGAAAATGGAGAGTAGCAAGAAGTTTTGTCATTGCAGGAATGGCATGACTTCTTGTTGTGACTGGCTCCAAATCAGCCCTTATTTCATCTAACAGCTACAAAATGGCATTGCTGGATAGGCGATATGTCTGGGTTATTCTCTCCTCTGACATCCTAAACATTTTCGCACGGATGGAGAACACCCATTCTTGGCGTACTCGCCGCCTGTGCCTTTTCCTTGCAGCAATAATGGCAGCCATGTCTGTGCGCAATTACATGGAGCCAATTTGTCCCTACCCTTCAAAGGTATTAAATAGCAAATGCAATCACTATCACTGAAATTGCTTTCAGTCTTGATAAGTCACTATACATGTGCTAAAATTTTGTATTTGCATTTTCTCCTCCCATATTTTGCACACTAGGATAGGCACACCCCTGATTACATATTCATTAGAGCCAAAAGTACTAACTGCATAGAATGTGCAAATTTGCACACTTCAAAGATGAAATCCTCAGTGCACACCCTTAGTGGCTGAGATTGCTGGTTAATTTGCGGGTGATATGATATTTGCACGTGTTTCTATACACGCAAAGCTTTAGTAGATCAGCCCCTAAGTGTGGTCTGTTTATTGTATTGTACAAGAGAAGTATAACCTCCTCAGATTTATACTCAATACTTTTGGCTATATATCCCAGCATCCTGTTGGCCTTTGTAATTACTGCAGCACAGTGGCAAGAGCCTGTAAGGGTTTGGTCAACAGTCACTCCCAGATCTTCTTCAAGAAGAACACATTCCAGTTTTAAACCTCCCATAAAGTAATCTTGTCAAATGTTTTTATTTATGACATGTCTCACCTTTATATTTTTTGTATGTTGAATTTCATTTGCCACATTTCTGGCTACTTCTGAATTCTATCTAAATCATCCTGAATCACTTTAGTAGACTCTAAACTGTTAGCCAAAGCCAATGTTGTATCATCTTCAAATTTGGCAAATGTTCCAGTCAAGGTCATTAATGTGGATGAGGGAGAGCAAGGGTCTCAACAGCGATCCCCGAGGGACTCCATTTTCCACAATGCCCAGCTCAGATGACAACCCTCTGACCACAACTCTTTGTATTCCTCGTATACATATACCTCCTATAATTCTGATGGTTCTTATTTTGAAAATTAGTCACTTATGTGGAACTGTGTCAAATGCTTTTTTTAAATCCAAGAATATTATATCATTGGGACTGCTCTGATCATAAGACTTTGTGGCCTTTTCAAAGAATTCCAAAAGATTTGTCACGCATGACCTTCCTTTATATAAACCATGCTGCTATCCTTCAGTACATTATTACCTTCAAGAAATAATTCCAACTTACCTTTAATGATATATTCCAGTATTTTACATCCATTGCACGTTAAACTGACAGGCCTGCAGCGGCAACCTAGATGGGCAACCTTTATATTTTTTTTTTTTTTTTTTTTTTTAATTTAGCATGTCCAATCCCACCCGAAATCTGGAATGCCCAATTGGTGAACTATGTACAAGGCTTGCAAATGTTCCAGTCAAGATCCTTGCTGCCAATTCAGGAGAGTGTAGACAGTTGAGGGGCGGCTCTCCTCCTAGCTCACGCGCCTGTCAGCCACAACTCTTATACATTCATAAGTTGAATCTTCCTATAAGTTCAGGTTCGAGGGCGGAGGATACCCGGACATGAACAGGCTTAGAATCTTCCTGACGAGCGCCGAATCTGGCCAACAGGAGGCACTTGAGCAACGAACAAGGCAACTATTATAGGCCTTTCCCGACAGAATTTCCCAATTTGCAACCCTGTAGCGCAATATAAACCATGCTGCTATCCTCTGAAAAAGCTGCCGACCACTTCAAGAAATAATTCCAGCGGGGCTCGAACCCGGACGTGATAGTCACTTCTGCCATTAGAACGCAATGCTTTACCAAGTGAGCTATCCGGCAGCTCCCACAATTCTATTGAGGCAGTAGAGTCCGCGCATGGTAGTCCTGTAGTGTAGGACAACCAATTACTGTGTAATTTCACTGACAAAAGACAGTACCGCTGTTTTATGCCAGTCTCGATGTGGAGCAGACCAGTCATTGCTGTACATTTTGAGTGTCTTGAGACCGCGGCTCAGTGTCCTGAGCCAGTCCGCCAGTGGAGCAGGACAGTGACTGCTATGGCACACCACAGGCCTGCCATAGCAGTACTATATCGTCAGCCTGCAGATAAAACATCATATCTCCGATTTAATAAGAAACAAAAACTCGTATGTCCACAAAATTGCAAAATACAAAATTTTCTTGATTGGATACATTCTTGGAAGAAAAATAGTCATCCTACCTGAACACAGCACAACTGCATTCTTACATGCAAAATTAAACATTTTATATGCTCTCCTGTAAAGTTTATCATTTTGAAGATAGGAGGTTTTATCAGCAGGCTGATGATATGATATTAATTGCTTATTTCTGTATTGCCTTGGTATTGGCCTGAGGGTCGCCGGCCGAGGGCTAATACTGTGACCCAAAGGCCAATACCAAGGCAATGTGAAAATTAGCAATTTATAATATTTTTATTAATTGGTTAAGTGTGTTGTGCTATCATGACAATATTATGACTATGACTTCTGATGTAGGCAACTTCAAGACTCGGCCAATACAGCTTCAGGTTGGCCAATACAGGTCAGCCAATACATATATTGGAAAAACGTTTTTACTGTATGCGAGCAATAACATACTTAACAAATTAATAAAGTACAGTATACAGGGTGTTTAAAAAAGTATACACAACTTTAATCATCGATTATACTGTACAAAACTACTGAATTTTATTTTTATTGGTTAGGGTATCATTTAGAAGAGTAAAACCAGCTCTTTCTAATGACATATCGCTTTTAAATTATAATTCAGTAGTTTTTGTACAGTATTATTGATGATTAAAGTTGGGTATACTTTTTTTTGAAACACCCTGTAGAACACAACATGCTACAGCAAACTATGTACAAGCCTTACTCGTATGTGACCCCATGTTTACACTCATAGGTCGAAACCTTGCAAGTTGAGAATGAGGGTGGAGGATACCTGAACATGAGCAAGCTTAGAATCTCACTGACGAGCACCTGGCTGGCCAACAGGAGGTGCTTGAAGCAACGGACGAGGCAACTATTTTATTATCCCATCCCGGCAGTCCCTTCCGAATTAGTATTCCCTCCAGCGCAAAGCCAATTGCGCATTGCTCTGAAAAAGCTGCCGACCACTGCTGGTTGGTATGACCGGGGATCGAACCCGCGCCGTGGTAGTCACTACTGCTCAGCAAAGTGGCGCCTTAAAGCAATACATGACAACTTTTGTACCTTAACAAAAATGCCTTATAATTATTTTACTGTTATATTGACTAAAAATATTGCAAATGATCATTCTACCATTTCTACAATGTCAGCAGTTCTTTTACTATGAGTGCCTGAAGTGGCCGTGGTCTGTCCCGGCCAAATGCGCATACGCATATGTTCCACTTTACGGCGCAACGCATATAAATAAGGAAGTTTAGCTTAAGCATCAGATGCGCTTCGGGGATCATGGCGGAGCCAACGAAACCGTAGCAGACGCGTTCTGAAGAGGCCAAGAAACGAAAAAGAGAATCTGATGGAGCCAGAGATAAAACTAGAGTGAATATCGGAAAGGGTTTAGGTCGCTGGCGAGAGGTTCGGGATCGATTGGGACTGAAGACAGATGCAGAGCTATGCTTCTTCCTTCTTGATTTGTAAGTACAAGGCTAACTTTACTAGCTGGTGTTACATCAGAGCCGACCGTCAGAATTCCGCTTGGTTGAAACGGCGTTTTGGTTGGGTTTAGGCTAGAAATTCGACTTGGTTGGGTGGCCAGAAACTTGACTTTAGGTTTAGGTGGTGGGATATTCTGACGGTCACATTTGCTGATGTAACACAGGCCTGCTGTGGGGACGTAGGGCTTTGCAAACTGAGGTCCTAACCAAGGAGGTTTGTTATCTTGGCGTGCTAATATTGTGTGAAAACTTCAACATGCCGCCAAAGAAGCGGCAACATTACCAGAGTATAGCAGGAGGATCCCTGCTAAAAGTTTGTGTGCGATCATCCTAGAAATGACAACATGATCCGAGCATGCATGATTATGAAACGATTTTGTTTATGGATTGTGGTCACGCTAACATTACATTGAGCCTGGCTAGAGAGACATACAGCCAGTCTAGTTTCACCCCAACATCACACTAAAAAGCATTACCATGCTGCACAGTTGTGGGTATAAACGTGAGTTACTTATTTATTTCAGCTATCAAACTTGTGTTTTAGTGAGTCCCATTGTAGTGCTGCTCTCAAAAATATTAGGGTAGCAGTAATGTTACTGAATGGAATTTTAGCTAAAATAATGCATTGTCGTTCTTTCTGATATTTTGTTACTCTTCATCTTACGTGATAAAATGAATACAACTGCGTGTGATAAGTAATATTCCTGAAAAGTCATGCAAAATCACTTTACTTTGTCGGATGACATCGTTATGTGCAAAGATGTGCACGGTTCTGAGAACTAGTGGAGGATGCGCATCAAGTGTCTGAGAGTTATTTACAACAGTGCAATTACACCCGGGAACTGTAGGGGACTGTTTAGTCAAAAGTTTAAGAAACTGTCATGTATTGCTTTAACCGAGTGAGCTAACCCAGCAGCATGGACATTCACATTTGACGGGCTGGTCCATCTGTTGGGGCCCAGCCAAGAACAGATGCCCTCAGCCCCAGTGCATGCTGTGTCCACAGTGGAGCCTAGCAGTCAGCACATCTACCGACACTCAGCAAAGCATTACTGCATCACTGTCAGGGACACCAAACTTCTGTCCTCCGCAAGATCCAGGCATACCATCCTCCAGCTCTCCCGTGTCAGCTTCTATGTAAAATATGGATAGCCCATCTGAGCAAATTTTAATAAGTAATTTCAAGTGCCCATTTGAACTGTGAGAAGCCTTAGCAGGACACAAACCAGTCTGGACAGAATATTCTGTTTCGCATAGTGCCTTATCTTGCTTTGCTAGTCGCAAATGTGTTTTCCATTCAGAACAAGCAAAAATATTCACTAAATGAGGATACACTAATTGTAAGAAAGCACTTTAACTTGATAGTGGTCTCCATACACATGCCTCTAGTATCCCTCATGTTAGGGCGATGTCTGCATGGCTGGAATACCAGCATTGTTCAGAGACGGGTAAAAGTATTGTGCAGCCACTCGGTCAAACCTGCATTTAGAAAGTAACCTTTGTGATTTAATTGCTCTCAGAACAGAACATTTCATTGTAGCTTACTCACACACACACACACACACATATATATATATATATATATATATATATATCTGCCACAACATTAAAACCACCTGCCTAATATCATGCAAGTACCCCTCGTGCTGCCAAAACTGCTCCATCAAACTGCTGTCCACGTGAATTCCCAGACCAAGGGTTTCAAATCAGAAGATTTCTCAGCACACTGCACTCCCTCCACCAGCCTTTCATCCTCCCACAATGTATCACAGTCCATCTCTCCCCAAGGTAAATGGTGCGCACAGAAGCAGCTGATGCACATGATGCAAAGGAAAATAGACTCACTGGACCAGGCAAACTTCTTAATTTGCTCCAAGGTCCAGTTTTGACGCTCGTGTGCACATTGAAGGAGGTTTCGTCAGTGGGTTGAGGTTAAAATGAGCACTCAGACCTGTCTGCAGCTGCAAAGTGCTATATGCAGCAATAGAACTGCATGTTATGACACATTCCTCATGCAAGTAATGTGAAATTCTTTACGACTTGTGCCCCCAGTAGCCATTCTGTTGATTGGGACCGGATGGGATGGCCTTTGTAGTATTTGTGTATCGAAAAGCCTTGGGTGCCCAACACCCTGTCACTGGTTCAAGATTTGTCCCTCCTTGGACCTCTGTCGGTAGGTACTCACCACTGCTGACAGGGAGCACCTCAGAGGCTGTGCCTCCTCAGTGATGCACAGACCCACTCGTCTGGCCATTACAATTTGGCTCAAAGCCAATCACGTCCCATTTCTCTCATATACAAGATGTCAAATACAAGAACACTCACCATCAAGGCCTGCCTGCAAACTTTGACACGTGCTGTTGCTACGAGATAATCAACATGATTTGCTTCATCTATGAGTGGTTTTAATATTTTACATTTTATATTATTTTGGGTATATATACACACACACACACACACACACATGCACCCTCACACATACAGATGTGTCTGTGCACATTACTTTGCACATAGGTTTTTTTTCTCGACTTCATCATACATATTCCCATCATAAAACCAGAATTTTACACTTTTATTATTTTTTTCTTTTTCCCATGCCAATGATCCCAGACCTCCCCCTACAATTTGTAGATTCTGTAATTGTATTCTTCTCCCCAACAAAAAAAATAAACCAAGCCCTTGTTTACATTCCGTATTTAGGAAAAGCAACAACATTGTTCTTGCGCACTCAATTAGTCCAAATACCTACCCTAAGATGACATCCTAGTAATACCTCTGATTAAGCCAGGTATGCTTGGTATGGGTTTGAGTAAAAAATCAACAGGACGGTAGAACTCCAGGAATACTGTCAGTTACCTCATATGGCGGTGGATATAGCAGTGAAGTTAGGAGGGCAGTGTCAGCGACTGTAAGCCATGTGTATGCTGGGGAGATTTTATGGTAGTTCAGCTCTCCAGAGACATGGTGACAGCTAAAGGAGAGAGAGGGGTGTCTCAACTGTGCTGGAGTGTGACTGACTGCTCTCACGTGATGATGGGCAGCTAAAGATGTCTAAACCTGCTGCTCACCACATACCAGCCTCATAATTTATCCAGAAAAGAGAGACAGGAGAAAGGAGCTTATTGATAAACCCGACTAAATGGAGCGGATTGATTGCAGAGCTAGCTAATCGGTGGGG